GATCCACACATTCAAAGGCTTTAGCATAATCAATGAATTAAAGTAAATGTGTTTTTGGAATTCCCTTGCTTTTTCTGTGATCCAGCTTATGTTGGCAGTTTGAGCTCTGGTTCCTCTGCCAAATGTATATACCCATGTGACTCAAACTTTCATCTATATATGAAATATTACACTCACTCTAGAAAGTTCCCTCTCTTATGCCCATTCCCAGTCAATACCCTCCCCACCATGGTTCTAATACCTGTTACTATGGATTAGTTTTATCTGTTGTAGAACTTCATATAAATGGAGTCATATAATATTTACTCTTTTGTATAAGGATTTTCTCACTCAAAATTGTGTTTGGCATAATTGAAACACACACATGTACCCCAATGTTCACTGCAACACTATTTATAATAGCTAGGACACGGAAGCAACCTAGATGTCCATCAACAAATGAATGGATAAAGAAGCTGTGGTACATATATACAATGGAATATTACTTAGCCATAAAAAGGAATGCATTTGAGTCAGTTCTAATGTGGTGGATGAATCTGGAGCCTATTATATAGACTGAAATAAGACAGAAAGAGACCAACAAATATCATATATTTATATATGGAATTTAGGAAGATAGTACTGATGAATCTATTTGCAAGGTAGCAATGAAGATGCAGACATAGAAAACAAACTTCTGGACACAGTGAGAGAAGGAGAAGGTGGAACGAATTGAGAGTGAAGCACAGGAACGTATATATTACCATATGTAAAATAGATATTCGGTGGGAATTTGCTGTGTGACACAGGAAATTCAAACCAGTGCTCTGTGACAACCTAGAGGGGTGGGATATGGTAGAAGGTCGAAGGGAAGTTCAAGATGGAGGGGACATGTGTATACCTATAGCTGACTTATGTTGACATATGGCAAAAAACAACAAACTATTGTAAAGCAATTATCCTCCAATTAAAGATAGATTTTTTTAAGTGAAAAAACAAATTATGTGTTTGAGAGTTATCTGTGTTGTTTTGTGTATCAGGAATTTACTCCTCTTAATTATCAAGTATTAGTCTACTGTAGGAATATTCTAGTTTCTTTTTTTAAACTGAAGTATAGTTGATGTATGAGAATCTAGTTTCTTTATCCACTTTCCTCTTGACAGACACCCAGGTTATTTCTAGTATTTAGTTACTTTAAATAAAACTACTCTGAACACTCTTAAAAAGATCTTTTTGTGAATAGGTTTTCATTTCTCTTGGGTAAATACCTAGAAGTGGAATTATCAGGTCATAGGAAGGTATATGTTTAGTTTTTTAAGAAACTTCCAGAACTCTTTCCAAAATTTTAACTCCTACTAACAATGTACAAGATTTTGTATTGTCAGTCTTTTTAATTTTAACCATTCTAACAGGTGCTCATCATATTAGTTTTGAGTTATAAAACAAGAATATCCATATAATAGAGAGCATTTCCACAATCAAGTGTGACTTAGTCAATGTCTATATTCTTGTCCACCTATTACTACACCAGTCCAGTTCTCTTAAGTCCTAATATTAAGACACTAAATCCTGATTCTCAAGCTTAAAGAGTTGATTGAAGTTTCAAAAATTGGTGGTTATTTTTGAAGTTTTTAAATTCAACTTGAGCTCTAAATCACTGAATATCATCTAAGTTCATTTTATAGTGGTTTTCTATTAATACTTAGGCTTTCAAATTAATCAAAATAAGGTTAGTTCTTGATTTATGCTCAGTAGAAAAATAATCACACCTTATAAAATTTCTTTCACAATTAAATGTGCATCAGATTGACTCTCATAGACCTAAACTTGAATAACATGAGTAAATAGTTTTAGACTAAGCATCAATCACACGTGGTAAAGTTACCTGTAAGCTATATTAGTTCCTAGAGGAAGTATGTAGGTCTAATTTTGTTTCATGTAAAGTTCTCTGTGGGCCCTCTAATTTATTCCTAGTGAGTTTCAAGCCTTTACACTGCTGTCTTCTTGACTTTTCTTCCATTTTCAAGTTCTAACTCTTGCTCACTTTTTACAAAAATAACCTAAATACTCTTAATGCTTCCCAAAAATGAATTTCAATCCACTGATCATATTAGACATATTATTATTATCCATTTGACAATTTTTCTTTAAACGAACTTTAGTAATCAGTAGCAGCAACACAGCTTAGAGCTCTAAAGTAGGAGAAATAGGGCTTCCCCTGGTGGCTCAATGGTAGGAATCCACTTGCCAGTGCAGAAGACACTGGCTTGATCCCTGGTCCAGGAAGATCCCACGTGCTGTGGAGCAACTCAGCCTGTGCGCCACAACTATTGAGCCTGTGCTCCAGAGCCTGGAACTGCAACCATTGAGGCCACGTACCACAACCACTGAGGCCTGAGGACTCCAGAGCCCATGCTCTGCAACGAGAAGAGCCCCCATGATGAGTCTATATACCGCACTAGAGAAAAGCCCCCAGAGCAATGAAGACCCAGCATATCCAAAAATAAATTAAAATAAATAAACAGGAGGAGAGATAAACTATGCAAGACCTGAGGCTAATGTAGTCTAGTCAAAGCATTGGGAAACACTAATATAAAAGATAAGTTGTCTGCTGCTCTCTGACTGGTTTTTTTCTTTCTTTATACTTCAGTTATCAAGATGTTAAAGGATGATCTATGGGCATATGTAAGAATTTTTAAAAATTTATAATGCAACTTTAGTATCAATTAATTTTTGTTAGGCTGACTGTATTTCTGGTAGCACCCAGTCAGCTTCCTCCCATAACATTTAGGAAGGGCAAAATGGTTCCATAGTTTTGAGACTCTCCATTGGTTACAGAGACATTAGGAAGCTTGCATCCAGGGAAACGATATGAATTAGGCATTTTAATCTCTATTCTGACATCTCTTGTTTCAGAACCACTTGATACATTGCTTTGTCTCGCACCATCTAGCTGTAAAATAATAAAATTTATTGGCTCTTAAGATATGCTAATACAGTAATCATTTGTTTAAATTACATGAAACATCATCTATATATGAAGTTCACATATTTTTGGAATGAAGCCACAAAGCACATATTTTGTACTTTTGAAAATAACAATATTCTATGGCTTGGAATAATACTATACTGTTAATTTCCCCACTCATCAAATGTATAATACATACCACATACTCATTGCAGGTTTTTTTTTTTAATCTGCATACAAGCCACCAGGGCCAATGTTATGCCTAGGTGAAAACAAACAGCTATAATTGAAATGATGAAGCAACACAGAAAAGACCTACCTGCTATAAAATATTTGCTCTAGTTTCTCTGTAGGGATAAAGAGAATTCAAATTTTTCTATCAAAATTTATGTATTAGCAGGTAATATACCAGGATCACTTTCTTTTATATGAACCATTGATGCCTATTACTCCTTCAGAGTCTAGCAGGGCCATGAAGGGAGGGCAGGGGACACAGACATTTGGAAAGGCTGCAGTTAATATGAAATAATGAGGTGGTGGGTGTGTGTCTGTGTGTGGGTGGATGGGTGTGGGTGTGGGGGTGTGTGTGTTGGAATGGGGGAAAGCTCCAGGAAGCAGAAGGACAGCTTGAGGGTAGAAAGCACCTGTGGGAAGAAGCTCTGCAGGAAAATCTGGGACTTTTGCCAGAGGTACACTTGCTTCCAATGTTGGCCTAGGGCTGGACCCATGAGACACAAACGAGAAAGTAATGTAGGCTCATATTTTTCAGATAAAGCCAAATTTTGCATGTAAGCTTTTATGAAGTCCTTTGTTCTGACACAGGAAAGACATAGAATAATTTTGCAGGCATCGTTCATACTCAGGCAAAGGATTTTGCATTTTTCTGTGTTACATAATCATATAGTTAGATATATGCTGGCTCATCTACTAAATAAATATTGAAAATGAAAACTTATTATTACAGTAAATTGCTGTGTAAATACAAATTCTATTTAGTGTGATTCCAGAACTTTTATAAAAATGAAGTCACCTTTTTTTTCTGATAATTGCCCCTGCTGTTTTGCCACTGACCACTTTACAAAGGAATCAAATCCAAATGCTGCATTGCTTAGTCAGATTTCATTGCATTTAAATGAATGGAGATAGAAGTAAAGATACCCTAGGATATTTGACAGAGTTCACTTTTAGGCTTCTTCCATTTATAATCTAGCTCTAAACTGTATCCCTTTTATTTAGTTTTCTTTATTCAATACATGCTATTTTAGTTACAAATAAAATAGTGTCTTATCCACAACTAATTTCTGTCCTCTCAAAAAACAAAAGTGATCACCTCATGTTTTATCATATTCACATTTGTATATTTTACCATAGTTAATAGAGAATGGCTCAAGGCTTCAAATAAATTTGAGAGCATAAATTTAGTATTTATTTAGAATTAGATCATGAAGCAAAATTATTAGAATTTTATTACATTTCATTTTCATAAATTTTTCATTTTTTCAATAAAAACACTTAATCTTTCTTAAATTAACCATAGCAAACAATAAAGGGATTTCCTTTAGACTGAGACAAAAGATTGATAAAAATAATTTCTATCTTGGCTCTCTAACCATGTTATCCTAGCACCTTAATATTAAAGAGCTATCTTCTAGCTGGTAATTGAATAGCTCTTCGTTAGTTTCTCCAAAAATAAGAGTTTTTAATCTAGTCTTACAGATTAGGATAGCCTTAGGTTTAAATATATTTTGGAAATTTGTTCCAATACTTAACTTGAAAATGTCTGATATTTTCAATTACTTAAAACATTTATGATTTTAAGCTCCTAGCAGAAATCTGCTGCTGAAGGGGAAAAATATTAAGAGCTGTTAGTCAGAAAGACACTTATGTAAGAACTGTGACATTGGTTATTGGTTCGAAAGCAAAAAGTCCTATATTTTAGACTCAAGGCTTTAGAAATCTTTAGTGAGCATTTTCCCCTCTCAGAACTGAGACAAATGGCTGATGAGTGAAATCTTGAGAATGTTCACAGCTTTTCTCCTTCATTCTGTTGCAGCCCGGAAGATGGTGAGATCCATCCAGAAATCTGTCGGCTCTACATTCAGCTGCAATGCTGCTTAGAAATGTACACAACAGAAATGCTAAAATCTATATGCCTGCTGGGGTCTCTTCAATTTCATCGAAAAGGTATCTACATTTAATATATTGCCATAAACAGTGAGAAATGTTAAATCAAAACTTATATTTTGCAAAGGCCAATATGTACCATATGTTTACCTACACACAATTAGAATATGTTCAGGAAATATTTGAAATAAATAAAAGCCTATATCAGTACTATCAACATGCATAACAACCCTGATTATCTTGAACAGAAATTGTGGTAGAAGCAGTTCTCAAATTTATTATCTTACCCCTTGTGAACATGATTTTGGCTAGAATCAGTGTGGGCAGCAAAACTATATAATGATCTTACTAGGGTAGTAAATGCTATCCAAAATTGCTGCTATGTCCCTAAATGTATTTGATTGCAAGATGACAAATCACAAATTGTGCCCCAAAGATAAAATAGGGGAAACTCAATAAACAATAGGGAGGCATATTAGTGACTGAAAAATTTCATCCTCTGGTTTTAACTTATAAAGAGACTATATTGGCCTAAAGAACTGAAATATCCAGAGATGCCAGTGGCTTCAGCATGGTTTGATCAGACTTCTGAATTCCATTCTGAGCGATGTTCTGCCTTCTCCTGGGTGTTGGTGTTAACCCTCAAGCTGCCTTCCCCCACATTTACAAACTGATTCCAGCAGTTTCAGTCATCACATATGCATAGAGAGAATTTCTCCCACTCTAGATTAGCTCCCTTCCCTTCCCATCCCATCCCTCTGGGTCATCTCAGTGTACCAGCTTTGAGTGTCCTGCTTCATGCATTGAACTTGGACTGGTCATCTATTTCATATATGGTAATATACAAGTTTCAATGCTATTCTCTAGAGTCATCCCACCCTTGCCTTCTCCCAGAGATTCCAAAAGTCTGTTCTTTATATCTGTGTCTCTTTTGCTGTCTTGCACATAGGGTCATTACCATCTTTCTAAATTCCATATATATGTGTTAATATACTGTATTGGTGTTTTTCTTTTGGACTTAACTTCACTCTGTATAATAGGCTCCAGTTTCATCTACCTCATTAGAACTGATTCAAATGTGTTCTTTTTAATAGCTGACTGATATTCCATTGTGTATATGTACCACAATTTTTTTATCCATTTCTCTGCCTATGGACATCTAAGTTGCTTCCATGTCCTAACTATTGTAAACGGTGCTGTGATGAACATTGGGGTACACGTGTCTCTTTCAACTCTGGTTTCCTCGGTGTGTATGCCCAGCAGTGGGATTGCTGGGTTGTATGGCAGTTCTATTTCCAGTTTTTTAAGGAATCTCCAAACTGTTCTCAGAGAAAGAAGTGGCAACCCACTCCAGTATTCTTGCATGGAGAATCCCATAGACAGAGGTGTCCTGTAGGCTACAGTCCATGGGGTCACTAAGAGTCACACATGACTGAGCAACTAACACACACACACACACTGTTCTCCATAGTGGCTGTACTAGATTGCATTCCCACCAACAATGTAAAAGGGTTCCCTTTTCTCCAAACCCTCTCCAGCATTTATTGTTTGTAGACTTTTTGATAGCAGCCATTCTGACCATTGTGAGATGGTACCTCATTATGGTTTTTGATTTGCATTTCTCTGATAATGAGTGATGTTGAGCATCTTTTCATGTGTTTGTTAGCCATCTGTATGTCTTCTTTAAAGAAATGTCTGTTTGGTTCTTTGGCCCATTTTTTTATTGGGTCATTTGTTTTTCTGGTATTGAGCTGAATGAACTGCTTGAATATTTTTGAGATTAATGCTTTGTGAGTTGCTGCATTTGCTAGTATTTTCTCCCATTCTGAAGGCTGTCTTTTCACCTTGCTTATAGTTTCCTTTGTTGTACAAAAGCTTTTAAGTTTAATTAGGTCCCATTACCTTAATTTTGCTTTTATTTCCATTACTGAGAGGTGGGTCATAGAGGATCTCACTATGATTTATGTCAGAGAGTACTCTGCCTATGTTTTCCTCTAGGAATTTTATAGTTTCTGGTCTTACATTTAGATTTTTAATCCATTTTGAGTTTATTTTTCTATATGGTATTAGAAAGTGTTCTAGTTTCATTCTTTACAGGTGGTTGACCACTTTTACCAGCACCACTTGTTAAAGAGATTGTCTTTTCTCCATTGCAGAATTTTGCCTCCTTTGTCAAAGATAAGGCATCCATAGGTACGTGGATTTATCTCTGGGCTTTCTATTTTGGTCCATTGATCTATATTTCTGTCTTTGTGCCAGTACCATACTGTCTTGATGACTGTAGCTTTGTAGTATAGTCTGAAGTCAGGCAGGTTGATTCCTCCAGTTCCATTCTTCTTTCTCAAGATAGCTTTGGCTATCCGAGGTTTTCTGTTTTTCCATACAAATCATGAAATATTTGTTCTAGTTCTGTGTAAATACCATCAGTAGCTTGATAGGGATTGCATTGAATCTATAAATTGCTTTGGGTAGTAAACTATTTTCACTATATTGATTCTTCTGATCTGCTGGATCATTGAAAAAGTGAGACAGTTCCAGATAAACATCTATTTCTGCTTTATTGACTATGCCAAAGCCTTTGACTGTGTGGATCACAATAAACTGTGGAAAATTCTGAAAGAATTTACACAGAATACCAGACCACCAGACCTGTCCCTTGAGAAACCTGTATGCAGGTCAGGAAGCAACAGTTAGAACTGGACATGGAACAACAGACTGGTTCCAAATAGGAAAAGGAGTCAAGGCTGTATACTGTCACCCTGCTTATTTAACTTATATGCAGAGTACATCATGAGAAACAGGGGGCTGGATGAAGCACAAGCTGGAATCAAGATTGCGGGAGAAATATCAATAACCTCAGATATGCAGATGACACTACCCTTATGGTAGAAAGTGAAGAGGAACTAAAAAGCCTCTTGATTACAGTGAAAGAGGAGAGTGAAAAAGTTGGCTTAAAGCTCAACATTCAGAAAACTAAGATCATGGCATCTGGTCCCATCACTTCATGGCAAATAGATGGGGAAACAGTGGAAACAGTGTCAGACTTTATTTTTTTGGGCTCCAAAATCACTGCAGATGGTGATTGCAGCCATGAAATTAAAAAGATACTTACTCCTTGGAAGGAAAGTTATGACCAACCTAGATAGCATATTAAAAAGCAGACACATTACTTTGCCAACAAAGGTCCATCTAGTCAAGGCTATGGCTTTTCTAGTGGTCATGTATGGATGTGAGAGTTGGACTGTGAAGAAAGCTGAGCACTGAAGAATTGATGCTTTTAAACTGTGGTGTTGGAGAAGACTCTTGAGAGTCCCTTGGACTGCAAGGAGATCCAACCAGTCCATCCTAAAGCAGATCATTCCTGGGTGTTCATTGGAAGGACTGATGCTGAAGCTGAAACTCCAGTACTTTGGCCACCTCATGTGAAAAGTTGACTCATTAGGAAAGAACCCTGATGCTGGGAGGGATTGGGGGTAGGAGGACAAGGGGATGACAGAGGATGAGATGGCTGGATGGCATCACTGACTCGATGGACATGTGTTTGAGTAAACTCGGGAGTTGATGATGGACAGGGAAGCCTGGTGTGCTGCGATTCATGGGGTTGCAGAGTCGGACACAACTGAGCAACTGAACTGAACTGATCCATGAACATGGTATATTTCTCCATCTATTTGTGTCATCTTTGATTTCTTTCATCAGTGGTTTATAGTTTTCTATATATAGGTCTTTTGTTTTTTTAGGTAAATTTATTCCTAAGTACTTTATTCTTTTTGTCAAAATGGTGAATGGGATTGTTTCCCTAATTTCTCTGTTTTCTCATTGTTAATGTATAGGAATGCAAGGGATTTCTGTGTGTTAATTTTATATCCTGCAACTTTACTATATTCATTGATTAGCTCTAGTAATTTTCTGGTGGTGTCTTTAGGGTTTTCTATGTAGCAAATCATGTCATCTGCAAACAGTGAGAATCTTACTTCTTCTTTTCCAATCTGGATTCCTTTTATTTCTTTTTCTTCTGTGATTGCTGTGGCTAAAACTTCCAAAAGTATGTTTAATAGTAGTGGTGAGAGTGGACACCCTTGTCTTGTTCCTGATTTTAGGGGATATGCTTTCAATTTTTTCCCATTGAGGATAATGTTTGCTATGGGTTTATTACATATGGCTTTTATTATGTTGAGGTATGTTCCTTCTATGCCTGCTTTCTTGAGAGTTTTTATCATAAGTGGGTGTTGAATTTTGTCAAAGGCTTTCTCTGCATCTATTGACATAATCATATGGTTTTTATCTTTCAATTTGTTAATGTTGTATATCACATTGATTGATTTGTGAATATTGAAGAATCCTTGCATCCCTGGGATAAAGCCCACTTGGCCATGATGTATGATCTTTTTAATATGTTGTTGGGTTCTGTTTGCTAGAATTTTGTGGAGGATTTTTGCATATATGTTCATCATTGATATTGGCCTATAGTTTTCTTTTTTTGTGGCATCTTTGTCTGGTTTTGGTATTAGGGTGATGGTGACCTCATAGAATGAGTTTCCTCTACAATTTTCTGGAAGAGTTTGAGTAGGATAGGTGTTAGCTCTTCTCTAAATTTTTGGTAGAATTCACCTGTGAAGCCATCTGGTCCTGGGCTTTAGTTTGTTGGAAGATTTTGTATTACAGTTTCGATTTCTGTGCTTGTGATGGGTTTGTTAAGATTTTCTATTTCTTCCTGGTTCAGGTTTGGAAGGTTTTACTTTTCTAAGAATTCATCCATTTCTTCCCAGTTGTCCATTTTATTGGCATAAAAGTTGCTGATAGTAGTCTCTTATGATCCTTTGTATTTCTATTTGGCTGTTGTGATTTCTACATTTTCATTTCTAATTTTTTTGATTTGATTCTTCTCCCTTTTTTCCTTGATGAGTCTGGCTAATGGTTTGTCTATTTTATTTAACTTCTCAAAGAACCAGATTTTAGTTTTGTTTATTTTTGCTATAGTCTTTTTTGTTTCTTTTTCACTTATTTCTGCTCTGATTTTTATTGTTTCTTTCCTTCTACTAACATTGGGGTTCTTCATT